AAAAAAAAAAAAAAAAAAGAAACATGATTTAACCTGGATGGTATCAACTTACGAAGAACTGTCTACATTTTGTGCATAGATATATGATCAGGGATTCCACCTTTGGTTCTTGTTCTGATAGGAACATAGAAACAGGTTTTTTTTTTTTAATGAAGACGCTCCCTTCGATGGAATAAACCTTTAATACGATAAAAAAAATTCACATGAAATTCGCTTAACAATATCTGAGCTCGCTGCATTCAACTTAACTCGAATAAGCCATTATTATGTTAATCTTTCTTCCGTTAATATTAGCGACGTGTTTGCGTTGTGCGATACAGGTAGAACCGCGCGTCGATTCATCGGAAGTAAATCGTACAAATATACAAACTCCTCGTATATGTACATTTAACGAGTGTAAACTCTCGTTTGAGCGCTTTGACTAAAACTGTGTTAAAGATTTAATGTATCTAACGCTTAGAAAGTCCGTTAAACGATCATCAAACCTTCGATATGTCTGAAGGAGTATGGTTCTAACGGAAGCTCAACGTTTTGCAAAGTTCTACGAGAAAGAAAAAAAAAAAAAAAAAAAAAAAGTACGCGTACAACGTTCCTTTCGGATTTTCATTCTCTCATGACATGGACGCGCCACGGCTGTATGGATGGAACCTGAGTTGGATATTTGCTGATTTACTCTCGTCGTTGTATCTCTGTCATTAACTTTTACGTCGCTCTGTCTACGATGAAGTCCAATCGCGAAGCCTCACGAAGTTTCCCGAACATCGGCGATCAACTCGAACTTCGACGTCACTCGCCATTTAGGTTGATCCTGTTGGACGCTTCGTTGTCGGTACAATACGTTTTTAACGCGATGGAAGTATATTGAAGTTATGTATGGTTTTGGTGTCAAGAATTGTTATCGAAAATTCTTGTATTGGTATAAATTCGGATTATGCGCTGTAATCGGAACATATAATTAAATTTAAGATAGTCGAGGTAGGTGGTTTCAGGGAACATCTTAATTCTATCGAAGTAGAATAATTTGATATGGCGGACCTGAAAATTAAGAACTCGGTTTACGTGAAATTTTCACTTGCAGACTGCCGAAGTTTAAACGCAGTTTAAGCTTGCTTTACCTCCCGGCTTGCAATTGCAGCTTTGAATCTGGAATTCTAAGAGTCTTTATGTTTAAGTAAAATATCCTAAAAGTGAAATCAACACGAACACTTTCAAACTCCTAAACACTGTATCCCATTATTGGAAAATTCGGTTCCACCATTTTGCAACGTATATTTTGAACTGATCACGACTGAACATAAAAATGGAATGTTGTGTCTTATTTGACTATTTTTAATTTCTCTTATAAACTCTATGAGCATCATTTTATATTCAAATGTATGATTTGTTAATGTTGATTATTTTATTGTGAGAGAAAAATAATTTACGTTTAGTGAAACAATTAGTAATACATTAGTGTACAAAACATTTTCATTTGGGCTTACAAACAAAAGATGTGTAATTAATATTTCTCTTTCTAGTTCTTTATATTTTTAAAATGGTAACTTTCATGTTGCAATTCACTATTTCTATACTTGTTAATGTTAATAATTCAAATTATATTTTATTTTGTTGAATTGTTACGTAATGTTTGTTGATGTGTAGGAATTGATTTAAAAGCCGTGTTTTTATTCATGGATTTTTACGTCTATTAAAGGAATAATCGGAGAGTCAGTGCACGTGGAATTCACCGAAACAATGCTTCCGGAATTTATCTGTGGAATTTGCCGTATTCTTCGTGTGGAACATCGGTAGTTTATAACGTTTCGTAAACAACGACTGGCTGGCGAAGGAGAATTCATAATAAAAAGTAAAAATATTCTCGCGATTTCGTCAGTAGCCAACGTAATTATTACACGAAAGGAAAACAGTGTTTAAATTTTTTGTCTTTGGGAACTTTCTAGTTCTAGTTCTAGTCCTAGTTCTTCGAACAGGCTTTAAACATAGAGTCAATAAAACGATATCCTTCGTTTTTTCTCTTACGTTAAATTGACTGAAAAATGATTCATTTCTTGTGATAATTAAACTTACATGAGTCGATTTTGATTCATATAGAGTTATCATATTCAGAGAATACTTCGATTGAAGAATAGGAGAAGTAGGCTATTCGATATTTTAGCTATTATTAGTATCGTAGATTATTTTCTACTATATTTGTACTTTCATAAAAATAGGAGAAATGTAATTTTATATATTCAATTTATCATCTGTATATACAACGCATATTCTATCTACTTATTTTTGCTTATCATCATTCATTAATTATGTCTTCCAAAAAAAAGTAATTACCACTTTTATTTAAAGAAAAGGCTGATTAAAATTCAAACAAGATAATCAATATTCTTCTTAAACCAATTAAAAAATGGGAATATCACAGCGTTAATATTTCCAAACTGGAAATGTATAAAACAAAATGCTACTAAAATGGTATCCTTAAATCTATAAGAAATAAAAAAAAAGCAATATTTTTTACTAGTTTTCATGTGCAATTAAGATCATAACAGGTTTTAAGATAGTCGCCTTGAACAGGTTCACACATACGTATATATGTCGCTTACACGCTGGCAAATAACGAGAACAATCAAGACTGATATTTCTGGATCTTTTATTCATTAAACAGAAACTCGTCGTTGGCCGATTATTATTCATGCTTGTAATCGATCTGTGGAGAAAGTTCTCCGGGACTCCAACGTTTGCATCGGCCGCGTTATATCAATAACGAGCTACGAAACGAGGTACAGTGTGTATTCACAGTAGAGCTGCTAACCTGTTAATCCAAAAGGACGAATTAACTTATCACTTGGGTCACGGATATTTTGAACGTGATAATTCATTTCTTTACATAACCTATGCTTTCCAATATATCGCTATATTTCTGTTAGAGGCATATTATACCTACATTTTCTAGAATTCAAACCTATTTTAAATTTTGTTCGATGGAGTCATTTTTCACTAGAAAATTACACAGTTAATGCACTGTCATCTAGAATCGTATATAGTAGTCTATATTTTTCAATATAGGCTAAGTCAAGCAAGATTCATACGGCCTTAACTAAGCCTCCGAGTCATTATCCTTCCAGATTTCTATTATTTCCCTTCTCCTGATACTTGAATATATAAAATTCGATATTTCATCGATCTTATATCGTTATGCTATGTAGGCTAATTATATCAACGATTTCGTTAAATTATTTCAATATACTATATGATGGTATATTGAGCCTGCGCTAAACATTTCTTCATATAGTCCTGGTTAAAGTTTCAGTTCTTTATTTACGCATACTCGTGTCAATTCACTCGTCCCTATATCCCAAACATGCTTTGACATTTAACCGAATTTATGACCTAGTCGTCACACCATATTTCAACTGTGGAAACGAATTAAAAATCGATAAATTTTATCGATAAGACGTATAGAGACAGGTCTTGTACGAGACTGTTCGTTACTATATACTTACTATATGAACTATTCACAGGTCAGAGCGACTAATTCTACTTTTTGAATTTTTAAATTTTACCGCCAAAACGCTTGAGGCATACTTCATTCTGTATATTTAAAATAAATTTATATTTCGTCAGTTTGGCAAGTGAACGATGCAGCTACTGTATAGGTTCTGTAGACAATGAAAATCTATTCGGCAGTGAACGTGTTAAAAGCATCGAGTAGCAGCAGCGATTTGATGCAGTGACACCCAGAATCGATGGAGCATTCTACGTTCTCCTATAGGAACCGATCGAAAGCATGTGTTCACATCGGCTAAGGTTTCGGGCGCTTATCCCCTCGGGGTTTTCGTAAATTCTTTTGTCTGGATCCTCGAACGTGTAAACATCGACGGCTGATCAGTTTTACGAACTTGCTGTACCGTTGGAGGTTACTATACCTGGAACAATCTTACGATCGAGGTCGTGCGCAATTACGACTTCGTGTCAGTGTTAGAAACAACTCTCAGTTTCCGGAATGAATTACTCGAAACTGGGACGCCGTATACGCGACTTCTAGACACGTAAGGCCTAAAAATAAGAGGTATAATAAAAATTACGATATAATGTACAGTTAACAGAGCTTAAATACTCAGGTCGTAAATTAAAGAATTAAATTGCAGTACCGGCTGATATAGCTACTGTCCAGGGCCGTGTGCGCCTTACTGGGGTACCCTAACCTTATGCTGTAAAACTCATTCTTTAAATTTCTGTATACGTATCTGTGAAAATAGTAAATTGATCGTTACTAGAATCCGTTTTCCAAACCTGTTGTAAAAAAATTTTTTAAAATGTGTTTACAAAAGAAGAATTGGCATCGCACGAAGGTCCCCCTTTACGACATCGTTATTTCTGTTCGACCAGGTATATATTTAAATAATAATTCTTTCCTAATCAAAATTTCATTTGCTAGCGAGGACAAAAAAATATTATAATGAATTTTACGTTTTTTAATCTGCGAGCTAGAAATGAATATAATTGCTATATATCGACTGTTCGGTGCCAGTATTGTAAAGTAACAATGAAAAACACTGCGATAAGTAGGTGGGAGATAAAAAGTATGCTTAGTAAGTGACGTGACGTTATAGGAGGTTAACCCTTTCGCTGCAGTACTCAGAGGATTGAAAGTGTTCTTGGTATATATATATATATAGTAATCGCGTCATTCTTTTTTAACCCCCTTTTCTTATCTGTGTTCTAGTCAATCCTCCATTTTTACAACATTGTACCTGCTCGATCTAGCTGTCCTTGCTCTCATAAGTTGAAGTTAAACTTGAAATAAAGACATCAATTTGCTAAGATCATAGCTTGCATTTTACGCGATAGTAATACGCTTTACGACTATAATTCGATATTATAAAACGAGAAGTTTCTATGGACGATGTGTATGTGTGTGTGTATATATATACAGACGTTAGGAGGTTTAGCCAGCCTTTAAGTCACGTAGAGTTCGAGATTTATCGCTGTGTTTGAAGGAAGATGGCAGGAAGTATGGTGAAAGATTATTTTCGGATTATGAATTATGGGTTGCCAATTGGGTTATTCTGTCGACAGTGAATGCGTGTGAGTTTATTGTATTTTCGAAAATCGAGCGGACAGGAAGCAGGAGCATCTGGGAAATATTGTATAATAATCTCTGATACGTCGAGGTTGCAAAGTGGGTCAGATGTGAAAATCTACATGTTGGAGAGTCTGGACCAAGGAATCAGCAGAAACCTAAGAAGATAAAGATACAAGACTTCGATCAGAATCTCACGAAGTATACGTTAATTTTGGTTCAGTGCCTATGGGAAAACATCTTGTTTGCGTCTCTAATACTCGTTGCATCAGCGGGTACTGCTGCTACACGAAGTTTTAACCCTCCATGATTTGAACTTCGTTTATATGGGAGAAGATCGGTTATAGGTGATTCTAGAAATGAGACTCGATGGAAATAAAAAGAATATAAATATAAAATACATTAGTTCAGTAACAAAGTGAGATACAAAATATATATATCTAAATTACATGGCGATATATAAAAGAGAATATTCTGAACTTTATTTTAATTAATAATTTATTCACCGATAGAATCGTTTTGACTATAATTAATTATACGGGTTATTTAGAAATAGATCTAATTAATTCATCTTCATTAATCTTTAATTCTACGCCGAAAAGAAACTTCTTATTGAGAGATGACCCAGTTAGCAAATTAATAGGAGAGGATGGAACTTATTGGCGTAACAATAATATGTCTGCTTAGGCGATGAAGAGTTCGTAAGATGACAGTGGATGATGAATTAAGAGAATGGCTATCTTAGCGTTATCCTCGACTTTGATATCACAAATTTGAAATTTCTGCTACAAAAAGTCTCTAAGAGCAGAATACTAGAGAATTATGAATAATTATTCGAAAGGTTTAATTATTGATTAATTTTTCTCTGAGTAAATGGCGATATGTATCAGAAAGCACTGATTTAGATGCCAATTGTTTCACTGAGAAGTAAAAATTGGAGAATCCTTAGAATTTATTTATTAATTTATTTATTTAAAAATACGGATTTATTTAGCCAGATTCGTCAAATCAGACACAAGGCTGAGTTCTTAAAACGCAGATCCTTGAAATTCTTCGATGGCTAAACAATGGAGTGGAATAGTTACGATCGATGAAACCTTCGAGGCTTGTGTGCTGCTCGAAAGCTTACGAGATTGATGTTCCTGTTTCCTTGTATCTCAAGCTAATCGCGTTTCGCATGTCTGTTATGCTTCCTCGCATTCTTGGAAATGAAATTCACCATTTCTACGTGCTTCACTGAACGAGAAACGGGTGCTGCTAGCTGCTGGAGTTTGCAGATTAATGCTCTGTACATCGAATTACGAAATTTCTTAGACGTTAAACGTACCTATATCAATCTTTGCATAAGTTTTTATATTAATCAATCTTAAATTCCGGAAAACTGACGAAAACACGAAAAGAAAAAAGAGCTGGCAATAATTGAAAATCAACCTTAACGTAAGAATATTCTGTTACATTTAAAGATTAATGTCAAAGGTATTGTACATACAGTTGAAGATAAGTTTATTAACTGACTTATGTATGGAAAGAAATAAAGAATAAAATGCAAAAAAAATTGCGATATCTCGATTTTATTCTCTGATCACCTACCCTGATTTATCCATCGATCAATAATATCGAGAGAAAAAGAATTTTACTTTCCATCTTTGTCCCAGGATTCTTTCCATCCACGTTTAATTCGAATCCTGCTGCTCGGTTGCAGATCCTTCGAAAAACAGTCAAAAATGAGCGTCATAATCAGACTACAGAATTTGGCATGGTCCGCCAACGCGCTGGACATACGCCAATTTTTCAGAGGCTTGAGCATACCGGAAGGAGGGGTGCACATTGTAGGCGGTGAGCTGGGAGATGCGTTTATAGCCTTCAGGTAATGAAATGCCTATTAATAGATACCCAGACGAAAAGATACTGCAAATATGCTAACGTTAAGTTTTCTCAATGATGTATTCATAATTTATCGCATTTACTGCAAGAAGGGATTGGAAGTGGTCGGACTCTTGCTCTTTCTTTGCATTTTCTTTCGTTTCCTTTTTCCAAAAATTTGATCAATTGTTAGGAATACGCTCCTTTTATACGAGTTATATTCAATGCATCTTACAGCACGGATGAGGATGCCCGACAGGCGATGATGCACGATGGCGGCAAGATCAAAGAGATGAAGATCAAGCTGTTGCTAAGCTCGCGGACAGAGATGCAGAAAGTGATCGAAGCGGCCCGACAGCAGACTTTGAGTCTACAATCGTTCATGCAAACGGCACCAGTTGCCGTTCCTCCGGTTGTTCAGAAGCCAGGATCTCCTGGCGATCGAAGAGAGAAAGAGAAGGATAACGATAGCGAATCGAGCAAGGATCGCAAGGACAGGCGCGACAGGTCGCGATCCAGGGACAGGTCTCGATCTCGTGATCGCGACAGAGATAGAGACAGGCGGGACAGGGATAGGGGGCGAGATCGGAGACGTCGAGACAGAAGTAGATCGCGTGATAGAGAAAGGGACAGGAGAGACAGACGTCGCCGCCGCGATCGATCTAGATCTCGAGATCGCACACGATCCAGAGATAGGGATACAAAGCGTAATTCCACGGGGGAACGTCGAAAGGACTCCAACGATGACGATAATAATGACGTAGTTTGTGTGGGTCAGTTTCATAAGGACAAACCTGTAACTGGCGCTAAAAAGCCGCTAGAAAATGGGATTTGGGAAGTCCCGCCACAAACACAGATGCAAGCTGCGATGTTGGCACCTGGTATTCTGGGTGCAGGCGTGGCTGCATTGGCACAAGATGGCGAGCAGCGTTCCATGACATTCGGCAATTCGGTAATCGGACAGCAATCGATGCTCCAACCGGGACAATTTCCTATAAATGGAATAAATGGGGTTGGAGGTCTGATGCAATCACATATGCAAACACTTGGTCACACGGTGGGCATGAGTCCGTTATCTCAGAACGTGGGCGGTTCGAGTCTGCCTACTTTGAGCACAGGGGTCAGCCCGTTAAATCGGCCCAAAGAGCCTTGGAATCAGGGTGAACCGGGTAGATTGGATCAAGTTAGATTTCCTGGTAGAGCAGGCCAATTTGGAGCGGATATGTACAGTTCAAATGGTTCTATGAACTATAGACCTGGAATAAGACCGAATAATCCTTTTTTGAGTAAAGTACAAGAATTGGAAGGTCGTCGCAATCCACATGCTTTTCAGGCAAATAGTTCCCAGTTCAACTTTGACAATGACAGGCAAGGGAATCGTAGCGCCACAAACAATTCCAGATTTTCGAATGAGAATAAAAATAGTGGCGGTGGTGGACACTGTGTAGAGGTTCGTAACATGCCATTAAGCGCTACGTACAATGACGTGCGTCATGCGTTTCAGGGTATTTATATCAGAAAAGATGGACTGAAATTGATCAACGATAATCATGGCAATCGCGTTGGTATTGCTTACGTCAAATTCAGTAAGGCTGAGGGTAAGGAACTCGCTTTGAGCACGACTAGATTTGTCAGAGGATCAGAGGTGGAAGTTTTGCACCTCGACGAAAGTATTTTCGACAAAGCGGTTGATTCTTACTCTCCTGAGAAAGAAAGAGACCGTGGAGAAGATGGAATCGAGGATATCAGATCCTCTACTTGTATTTTGTTGACTGATTTGCCGTCCTTCACCAAAGAAATGGATATCGCTAAACTGTTTCATGATTGGAAAATTAACGATCTATTCATCACCAGTACCAAAGAGTCCGGAAGTGTTCAATGTATGGCCTATGTGCAATTTGCCAGAATAGAAGATGCAAAGGCGTCTGTGAATACGTCCTTGAAAATCGGCAATAAACCAGTGACCGCGACGGCGATCACTGAGGAGAAGTTTGCTCAAGCGAAACGTGATCACGAGCAGAACAGCATGAATCAAACTGCCAGTTCAGATTGCGTTATCATGCGGGGCCTCCCGTTCCAGACAATCGACCGTGACATTCTGGATTTCTTCTCTGATATTGGAATCGTTCCTCATCGAATACACATGTTGCTCAATCAAAATGGGAAACCCGCTGGCGAGTGTTTCTGTGAGTTCGATACAGCGGACGAAGCCCTCAGAGCCACTGCGAAGAATGGTTTACCTTTTGGAAAGAACGTGCCAACCATAGAACTGGTTCCACGCGCCAAGATGTTGGAAACATTAGGAATGGTAGATCCTCAAATCATGGAGACACAACAGCAACATTTTCCACCACTCCAGGAACAGCGGCCACGATTCTCTGGGCCCATGAATCATTTACCCCGCTTTGGAAATTCTGGATTTGGACCTAGGTGTCCTCCTGGTTTAATGGGTATACCTAGACACATGTTAGGTCGACATCCAGGTTCAATGGATTACGTAGAAGGATTTGGTAAACCTGGTTGTGTATTGTCTTTAGAGAACGTTCCTTTTAAGGCAGATATTAATGAGATCATCGAGTTCTTTGGTGATTTTGATGTAAAGAGAGAAAATGTAATACGTCGGTATAACGAAAGAGGTATGCCTACGGGTGACGCTAGGGTGGCATTTGCATCGCCAAGTGAAGCACAAAGAGCCTTAAGAGAATTAAAGCATTGCAAGATGAGAGACCGCACGATATACATGAAGCTCGCGTGAACATTCTCGCTGAGTGTTGCTAGGTCAAGTGCACAATCTACGAAGAAATTCCGACAGGAATTCCAGAAGGAGTTGATTATAAGTCGGTCTTTAGAAGAGTGAAAAAGATAACAGTATCTAAGATAATCAATAAATGGGACCGATTGTACTCGACATTTATTTGATTTATATGGGATCAATATAGATGCATCAAGAACGATCCAATCAAAAGCGGAGGAAGGAATGCACGTGGTTCGAGAAAAAATTGATTTTTCGTGGATGTAATATATTCGTTTACAAAGAGTTTACGATATTTTTTATTCATCTGCAGTCTTCATTCTCCTATTCTTAAGTTTTGTATATAGAAGTCTATATTGTGTTAAGGACACGAATTTGGATCGTTCTCATTTCTTCGGTGACCTGACAGTCATTCTTTGCGTCATTGCTTGCTAGTGATTAGTTAAAATAATTACTCGCAGTGATTTGAGATTTAAGAAATTTCAGCAATAAGCAATAGTAGAGGGAATTTTTGTTCTCTTAGAATTATTTCCAAGAATTATCTTTGAGATAAAGCGGACATAAAAATATTCTTTCCTTGTTATCACGATTTAGTTTGTAACGTATCGACTGTTTTGTTTCTTTTTTACTGTATTAAAGTCAGGGTGAGGTCATCTTATATTTCACTAAACGTGAGCAACGTTGTTCTATTCCCATATCCATTAAGAATTAAGACTTGTAAATATATTGTAAGTCATCGTCGATTTTGAAATTGCGAGTTATGTTCTAACATTTTCCTTGGCACGTAGTGTTAATGCTTAGCCTACATGCTTTTATTCACTTTATCATTATGGATTATTCTAAACAAAGCGCAATAAAGAGTACAATAAAAGACTTCTTCGATATGCTATGGAGCAATTTTTATCTTCTAAATTGACCGAAAATAAAACAATTAAATGATAATAATGCTCACGATTTTCATGACGGATATATCATTCTTAAAAAAAAGAAAGATATTCGTGTATGTATAGAGAAAACACAAAATGTTTGTCATTATTACGAATTTCGCAATGATACGTAAATGTATGTATTACACAAAAATAGAAAAAAGTACAAAATTCGATTATCAAGAATTTGCTTTATATAAGGTATAAAATTATCTCCAAATGAAAAAATTCATAAAGAACACTTAGTATTTTCTACAACCACTTGTATATGTATGTTAACATGTACTGCATTACATCAAACTGTATATAGATTATACATAGACATCAATACATCACAAATAAATCAATCAGAATTTAACATAGATGTAAAATGATATTTATACGGCGAATTTATTGACAAGATATAGGTGTACTTAAATTGTTCAGTTTGCCGTATGTCTCTGTTCAACATAAGCACTTTAAGACTTCAATAAATTTATATTTACAGTGACAACGTAATCTTATGGTTTTATTTTACTCTATTTTACCTTCAATTTATTTATTAAAAGAAGTATGCATTCCTTAACAGTAAAATAATAAATATGAAAAAATCCACTTGTGAAATTTTAAGAAGCACCAACAGAGTCGTGAAACTCGGCTGCAGTTGTTTCGAAGATGTAGCACGTTAACACCCGAGACCATCGATCCAATTGCTCTCAGCTTAGAGATCTTTAACTTTAGGATTTGTATCTTCAAGTTTACTAGTTCTTGATCCAGAGCGTTAGGTTTCCCAATTACAGATCTTTTGTTCTATTCAAATTCCAATTGTTAATGTTTACCACTCTGGACAACCACTTATGATTTCGTGTTACTATTCTAGGATAACTTAAATTGTTACAAGTTCATAATTCCCAGTCTTGATTTCTAGATGATTCCTATATTTCTATTTCTTTCAACCTTCACAGACAGGTGCATTAATTTTTCATCGCTTCTTTATTCATCAGCATTTTCGTTTTTTATTTCAATTAGTTATATATTTGATCTAATTAACCAATATAATTTAATTAAACATATTTTACTATATCTTAATTTATATAACATAAAGTACGTATTTGTAAAATTATTGTCATTTATTTACCCAATCAAGTATTCATATCAGAGTTTTTACGGCGTCATTAGTCAAAATTATTCTCATAGATGTCGCATCAAGAAGGGGCAGAGTCAAACTACACTTCTCAAATTATGAATCATCAATTTTTGATCATATAGAATCGATATGAACCCACGTGCTTATCTGTGCTAAATGTGCTGTGGCAAATCAGTGCTGCCTAAATATTGAGTCACCAGTTATTTCTGTAACTATTCTCCTCGCCTAGGCTCGTAATGTGAAGTACGCATGTACGTGTCGCGTGCGATCAGCTTGAGAAGTTTCGCCTGTAACGTATATACATACATAAGACATAAATGATTCGTGTACTCAGGAAACGTGACAATACCACTAACGAATCAAACAATGCTCGATCGTGAGAATAAGCGTATAACAAAAATAGAAGATAGTTGACTCGAAGCTTATTTCCATAATCGATATCTTCCATCTCCTTTTTTCACTCACCTGACTAAAGTAATGTTCCTTTTTAAAAATTAATTCCTCTTGAAGATAGGAGGATTTAGTTTATTTTATTAATTGATTCTGACTTAGATGAATTGCCTGTTGCATTTTACATAGGTATACTTCAGGATTTTTATCACGTGCATGCCATTGGCTCGTCTGCAATAGGTGTGTGCGATCTAAGTAGCTTTACGTAACATCGCGGTCGATTCGATGACAATTACGATTTCATGGTATAGTGTTATATCAGTTATTTTTCGAGGTCACAAAAATGACGTGTGTTATGAGAAAGAATTTCAAACTACTTTTTTTTATTTGTTTGAAAAAACTTATTTATTGTCTCGTTTAAATTCTATTGTTTTCTTTCCCGACGTCTTTATTTAAATAAAACTTTGTTAAGTGTTTTTCACATATTTTGACCCGAGATAATTACAAAAGTGGCGACGCATTTAATGATGTGCCAAGAATTGATTGGATTTATGAATTTATGCAAAATGGTATGCAAGAGACTTCCATTTGGACCTTTGGGATTGAAACAGTTATTGAATTGTTAATGATAGTTTATGGGCTGTATTTCGTGGTAAAGAAGAAATTTTAGTCTTGCCTGACACTGTCGGTATGAATTTATGTTCATTGTTAAGTATGTTTATGTAACATGTTCCAGGATAGTTATCCAGGATAGCCTTACATGAAATATTATTTGCTGGCTTAATCTAGCGTGAAATATTTAGTGTTGCTGCAGTATATGTGATGGTTGATTTTTGACTGACTAGTTCTTTGAATTGTTATTAATTTTTATTTATTTTATTTCATCATTTAAGTTCGGACTAAATTATCGATAAAAATAATTTTTTCCCAAAAAGTCATAAGTTTATAGAGAATTTATAGAAAATTTTATTATTTCTAAAACGTGTGGAAAATGTGTTTTGAATATAACATTTCTAGACTTTTCCGTGTTTCCCATTTTTAGTATTCAACAATGTTGGATTAATATACAAACAATATGTAATGCTATATTAAGCATGCAGGATCCAATCTTCGACAACAGATTAATATTTGAATAAAACAAATCCTTAACCGAAGAATAGGAATGACATATTATGTATGTAAAATTAATTAAGAAATATGAGCTATTTTTTTTTCAAAAATTACTGAAGAATTCTTTTCCTAACCTCAAATCATCCAGCAGTATCAATTAACATACAAGAATGTTCTAGTTCATTACGAATTTCATTATAATTACGTGATCGACAGAGGAAGTAAACCATTAACCTTGTTCGATTTGCTGTGTGTTCAGGAAATCTATATTTAGCATTTCCGAAACACATTTACACAATGAAATCGTATTGTCCGAAACATGAATTACAACGAGTACATTACCGTAGTTCTATTCTTGAATTGACGTATCGTTGTTGCTACGATCACAGTGAACTCTCGTATTGTCAGATATCGACCGAGTATGTATCTCACGAAACGATGCACATTGATTTACAATACAGAGTGAATCTGTGCAGAATACAAACAGCGATTTCGAACGTGATTTTTAGTTATCCACGAACGAATTGATTCATTGCAATTCACTCGTGTCAACTAGATGGCGTTTTTGCTTTGTTTCGTGTTGTGTGATTCTCATTATCGAAGGAGAGAAGGTAAATGTAATTTCGTGACAAAAGTGTTGACCTGCTATATTCAATAACTGGAGTCTTCCTTTGTGGTTACTAGAGAACGTACTAAAATAGAGACTGCAAACAAAGAACGGAAGTCTCACTGCCGTGACGGATGAATTCGTTTCGCCGCCTAAAAACAGATCTTTATATGAGATGGAAACTTTTCAGCTTTTTTAATACGTTTATTTCCATTCGTACGGGAATAAAAAAATATATCGCCTCGCTTGAATGAACATCATTTAAAAAGGGAAGATTTCAATCTTGCGTTTTTATTCGAACATTTTTCTACGTCATTTACTCCCTGAACAGGTTATGTTGTAATGTCATTAATGAATTAATTAAATTTAATTGGTACAGTTACTGTATATTATGACATAAAATTGAATACAAACAATTATAAACTAAGTTGAACATTTTTTGTTACAGAATATTATACAAACTTCCATACAAAAGATTAAAAATTTACGCTATTAAGTATTTCGTAATATAATTGACCTACTTTTGCATTTTTTCCGATCTTCATAAAACAACGTGATGAAACAGAAATATCGGCTGGGATCATATCCAAGAATACCTCCAGACATAATCGTGTTGCTAAAGATTGTTAATACGGAAAACACAATTGCACTCTGTTTACGTAGCGGCGTCGTTAAACATAACTTACGATTGTCTATAAAAATACCAATTGATAAGAGAAATAAAAGCAAGTGAGTTTTAGTCGTATCAACGGAATTTATCAAAATCATCACCGATTACTATATACATATGCAATGTATAGTGATGCCATTGTCATGTTACGTAAAAACGTGTTTGAACCGCATAAACGAGAAATCGATTTGTATTTTACCTTTCACGCCAACTCGCTTTGCCGAGAAAGAATTTATTCAATTTCTCGTTGCAATACGATCGTCATCGTTACGACGTCTCTCAAGATTATGCATGGATTCCACTCCAGCAAACCAGTGACCCGTCTGTCCACGAATGTTCTCTCCTTATCGCACTAGGGATAGTTACATGCATTTGTTAGACGAAGGTCGAGGATAAAAAAGGTATACTGGTCCGAAATTTGCGTATCTTCATGTTTATATGAATAAAGGAAAAAGCATTCTTCTGTCAAATAAATGGAGATCTATTTATTTGATTTATTTGATAATTTTTAACTCTTATTAATCTTCGGTAGTTTAATAATGGTTAATTATATTTTTTTAAAGAATTTATTTAAATATATATAGAGTAAAGCATATTTTATTAGTTTGGCTTCATTTTGAAACTTATTATATTTGAGTGTGAAAAAATCTGTCTACTATGATGTTTACTATGATATTTGTTTAATCCAATTTAACAGTACAATAGCAGATACGAAAATCATCAGAGGATATAATCCCTGGAACCAAGTTGCATTGCTACCTTTCACAGAATAAAGGTCTTCGAAGGAGTATATACACCATATCCCCATGTGGTTCCCATATATGTTGCGAGGATAAAAAGAGGCCTCGAATGTGAAACGAAGGTCGACGTTGGATCGTGCATTTATAAAACATTTCTTCTGAGGAGAAAAGGTGACAATGTCGTAAATATATATGACACTTATTTATAGAGATAAATATTTCGACTATATCTAAAATGAAAAAAAAATGAGGGAATAGAATTAGAAACAAAAAAGGAAAAAACTTAAAAAATAAAAATAATATTACTTTGAGAATATGCACCATTTTAAGATGCAATGTGAAATATTCTATAGGAATGACGGTAATTTAATAACCATACTGTTAACTCACTTGTTCATAGAAATAACGTAATAAAGAAGGAAAGTATGGAGCTTTTGACGTGCAGAAAGATAAAATTTCAAGGGTTGATAGAAAATAGCCGCTGCATTAAATATCAGTTCTTGGCAGCACTGGTGAATTACTCGCGGATTCAATGGAACAGACGAATTAAATTTCAACTTCGCTTAATTATCCGAGAAGCAGAAATTAGGTCTGACTTGATGCTTCAACCAGGGTCAGTGAATGCTTCCTTGATGCCTACAAGAATATTTACTTTCTCTATATATCTGCTATCGCGATTTAATTTGCGAAACTGGCGTTATTAACAGAATCTCAGAGATAAGGTCCAGACATCGAAGAGTGCCTCTTCATTAATCCTAGCAGAATGCTGTAAGCCTTGTTTTCGTGTTGCGAAAGTCGAATCTGGATTGAATACATTTATATATTATAACATCTTTTGATTAAGTATTAGAGCAGCCCTTTCATCTCTTACCTAAACAGAGAATTATAATAAAATAATACATATGTACAAAATATATTATGTCATATTTACATTTGCAAAAGCTAATTGCCGTAACTAAAATTCATCAGCAGTAATTAATTTTTGTCAACATTAGTGAACGATTTCCATCTGCTGATCAGACCGTATCATGGGTGCCAGTATCACGTAGGTCAGCGTTGCTTATTGTTGCATTGTCAACTGTGATCAGGAATCTTATGATGGATACGATCAGATTGCAGAAAGGGGATACTAGTCCAGGATAGAATATTAATCCTTTCCATTGTAACACTGTTTAGATAACGTTTTTGCAAGACTTCTCATGCTTTTCCAGCTTTAAAAACCAATACCAATATTCCTTATAATAATCCTGCAACATTTAGATGAGGTTCTGTAATATACGTATATATAATTTTTGAATATTATATTATGTAATACTTATTAATTATTTTTAGTAAAATTAATAGGTTTTACCAATTAATTAATGGATGATTTAGAGCTAATCAATGTTTCGGTGTTAAGCAAAAGTATTAATTTTACAGAAAGTGGGCGGGGAAATGTGAAATGCGAGAGTGCCATGCGAAACAGATGCCGAATCAACGCATTTGGTCTTGCGTAGATAGAGAGGAAAGGGAGTCGGCTGATATTCTTCCCAAGGGCGTCTGCGATTTTTTATCGCTAAAGTGTCAAATGGATGTGCGGCAACCTTTTAAGAATGGAAAACAAGATTCCAGTTTCTTCGAAAGAATATTGATATATGTAAATTCATAAACACATTCAACTTTTTATCATAAAAAGGATTGTTTTGTTTTGAAAACTTTGTGCACTCACGTTCTACCCACTCTCAGATATTATGTCGCTCATACAGTGTGGGAATCGCTTATTTACAAGGACGTCCCGTGGAGAAGAAGCTATTCCAGCTATTAGCGTAATTGGGTTGATCTCTGATGAGAAATATCAACAATGATGGAGTAGAAATCAATGATATGATTTAGACTACCGTCTCTGGACACCATAGGCTTCATAGAAATTGATATTAATGTGAGAGTATCTAGCGTAGCATGTTTATCCGGGTCCAAGAGGATGATTTCGTCGGGTCCCATTAAAAAGACGTCCAGATCAAATACAGCTGCCAAGATTGGTGTCGGTATTAATCATCGTTAGATCGTTTTGATATAATGACCATAAACGGCGGCCATTAAGATCTACGTAACGGCTTAATGAAAATTAATCGTTGGATGTATCCATCCACCTTGAACCAGACAATTCGCGACATCATTCCGACAAAATCATAACAAATAAATTGCTTATAGTGGATTAATTTAAGACTTAGTTATATTGAGAAATGTGCAATGAACAATTATCATATGTATTTTGAATTATACTTTCGTTCGTAATAAATGCTGGTAGCGTTATGAAGCTCCTGATATTTTGCTTACATACGAGTGACCGTTATTCCAGTAAGAAGGTCAATGAATTTTCTTCTACCCGTCCGTGGTAAGTCAGACGCGCATAAACTTTAATCTGAAACGGTCATCTCCTCTGTTGCGGTTAGCTCGAACCTTAATTTCGTCAAATTAAGATATCACAAGAATATGGTGATTGGCTATGTGATGACGAGGTTTAACTTAAGTAATTCCCAAATGATGTATACAGGAAATTTCGTTGTCCACCTAAAATAGATTTTATTTAATGTTACTAGGGCCAGCTGTTACAGTTAGCACATTCGTTTGATCATGTTTTGTATTATTCTTAACTACTAAAAAATTCTGGTTGACTGAATGTTTCTCTGAGGACTCTGAAAGTATTTGACTGTGGTAAAGGAATTTAAACATTTAGAAATACCTACATATGTAACAGAATGTTGCAAAGGATCTTTAAAATATCTGAAGAAATATATCAGAAACATTTAAAAATATATAAAAGGTATACAAAAGAACGTTAGATTAAGTAAGAAACGTTTAACGAATTATAATCAATTGTTATAAATTATTAAATTATTTACCTAAAAAGCAGACTTATAGATTACCTTAAAGATACATATGTTACATATGTTTACAATTCCATATAGAAATATTTTATTAAAAGATAAAAGAATATATAAAAATTTCTAAAAAAAGCTGAAGTATGTAGAACTAAATCTTGCTAGTATATAAAATATTGAATAACAAAAAGTTTTTAAATAAAAGCCTTTTATTTAAAACTTTTGAGTCTCAAGGCGACTTCAAACACGAATCAGATTTATGGTGGTTTCCTTTGATTAGAGGTTTCGCAACTGATTGTGGCATCGATGAAAATCTCACGAGAACCTCTCTCTTTCGGTATAATCGCTATGGTGTATGGCAAGACTGCGATTACACGATTATGTGTTCATCTCCGGCACTGACTCAAGCAAATCGTGTCTTATTGTATCTCTTTCACTTTTGCGTATATTTCCGCGTCAACTTTATTTCTCCGTTGTACAAATTTGTATTTTCATTCGATAAGATAATCCTATCACATTTCGTATTCCATTATCGCGACATAAATTTACGTAGCTTGTCTCTTTATACATATTTGCTACAAATAGCAAAATACTAACTAAGATATAGTAAATTAAGAAGTTATTAAAATCACTTTCAGCAAAAAAATAAGACCTTCCGATACTTAAACTGTTACGACAGAGATTTATTACTATAGTAAAATGACGACTTTAATTTTGCATAATCACAACCGTAATGTTTTTTTCTCATTGTGTTTTTAATATGTAGTGCAGAATAATCTTCATACGTGTAAATATTGCATCTCTGTTTAAAAAGTTCACATATCATGTTATTTTATTTCATTATGATTTAATTATTATTTTTTATTATTAGTTAAATTATCAATTATTTAACTATTATTTCTTCCATACCAATACCAACTGTAACAATTTTTTAAACACTTATATTTAAACTATAATTCAACCATATGTTTAGATTAACATAACCTTTTAGTTTGAACTGCACTGATTCAGATTCCTTCACTTTGTCTATATTTACACATTCTCTGAAACGATAAGTAAATCTTCTATAAAATCTATTATTTATATTATTGTAACATATATTCATTGCTAATATTTTCACAAAGATGTATTATTTACTAAACTGTTCAAATAAGGTTAAGGTAAACAAAGATTAATATCGAGAATTTAATACAGATGCCTGCTTTTTCTACTTAAATATTCTATTTTCGTCTTTTATTGGGATTGATATTTTTTTTAGAACTGATATTTTTTGTCTATTTATGAAACATGGTGAGTTATGTCTTTACTGGGTTATTATAACCCAGGTGATACACGCTGATGCACGCCATGAGAATTATCGGCACGCACTCGGGTTCTTTCGGTTTAGCACGGATCGAGTTCGTGAGGTTTGGTTTGGTTCGACTGGATCATCTTCTCTGTATTGGTTAATGTAGCACGAATCAAATGCGAGTGCGTGCAAAATGATTCAGATATATTTCTGTATTTCCTTTAAAGGCTATCGAATATATTCTACAGTATAATCTCTAGTAAAAATATAACCAGGTTTTAAATTAAAGTAAGAGTGATTTAAATTATATTAAAAAGCGGTGTCGATTAATATAGTGACATCTAGGATAATGCGTTGTATTCAGTAATTTGTCTATAGTAGCTAAACATTTAAAATACACTTTATGCCGTTGTAAGTCAGGTTTGAACCCTTTATTTTCTTAGGTTTTGAATAATATTTGATCTTCAACAGACAATTATAATTTACAACGTTGTTAAATTTTTCTCACGAATTATAATTACACCATTGCCATTATATATATATATATATTTCAACTCGGCAAATTACATTCATTTATACGGATAGGACGGCATGCTAATCCACGGAAAGACTATGATTGCTTGCTTTGTGGTCATACAATAATTTCAACAAATCTACAAACTTAGTGAGCTATACGTCGTGAGAGTGGGTTCTAATCTTAAATGTGTTTAGCAATCGGTGACCCAGAATATTAACATTTTCTCTTTTCTTAAGTATTCTTTTGTTCCCGGCTCCAGTGCATCTGTATTATTTCCGAAACAAACATCTGTTCTGTGACAATGCGATAACAAGTCACAAAGGTAATAGCCCCATTTTTTGTTTTTCCTACGCTCCTCAAATTTGTTTGATGAATAAAACTAGATATCCATGAAATATTTTTACGACAGGTTCCAATACGAAGATTCTTTTCAAAGGAAAACATTACTGACTTACATAAACAAGCTGTCCGGACAATCACTACTGGACCATCACGATCAAGTTTTGAAAATAGAAACAATATGGGTAACTAGACTGGAAGAGAAATTTTTTTCGTCGGTATTCGAGATATACTATATCTACAATGGAAAGGCAATAATTGATGGGATAGGTATTGAAAATTGTATTTGGTTATGGTAAATGGTATTTCATTTTAGAATATGTAATTATTTAAAAATTTTAATGTTGTATAATATTATAATTTATGTTGAAAGAAATTTAAAATTAATTTCACCTTCCAGGGAATGTTTATTAACCAATATTCTCCATTCAGCAATCAAAATTCAACAAACTATCCTAACACGCTCAAAGCAACTATTTGTATATCAGGAATAACCTGTAAACATAAGTTCTGATTATGTTCAATCACTTTTCCACGATTTCACGACGGGAATTGCGTGTCATCGAGAGAAGCTACAAAGGAGGAAGCGATTGCAGATCGTTTGGTCAGTGTTAGGATCACCATTTGGCGCCAGCCTCTCCGACGCTCGTTGAACTCGCATGCATGCACGTTCTATAGGCGCAGATGCATGCAGCATCTAGATATCGGCGTGTATGCAAACGCGCTTCTGTACAGGGCATTCCACTTATCTGCCTACGAATTTCATACGGAATGTTAATGGGGAATGTTTGCGTGAGCAGGGTCGAATCAAGGATTGGATAGACCCTTAACGATTATATTATCTTCGTCTCCAAATAAGTATTAAACTTATGTTAATGAGCAATCCATATATCTATGCTTTTATATTTCAATATACTACTATATAGTAAATCTAACGAATAGTATATTTTTATTATTGCATAGTAATCGCATTCATCTGAATAAATACGTATAGAAAACCACGAACGCATTCTAATGAAAATAATAATAATAGCAATATGGAATATTTTGTTTTCATTATTACATACTGTTTCTTCAAATTCCATAATTTAGACGGAAAGCAATTCCCCTACGGTAATATAGGTGGATTCAAGTAATATTCCCAACGTCAAAATTTGAAGACCTTTCAGAGCTTACAGGTCGATAAGTATACGATTTAAGGAGTACAAAATCGGCAACTACCATCGATTCCCTTTACCAGGAACTCGTAGAGTTAGGAAAGAAGCCATAAAGCGGAATACAGCACGCGAGAACACACTGTCCCATCTTACTAAAGAACATCTTACTAAAAAACGTTAAAGTGGACAGCTACAAAGCGACTAATTATACAGCAACGGTTTCCTTGAAATTGCACATCGCAAAAAGGAACGCAGTGCGAAGAGTTAAGAAGCAATCATTTATAATCGTGCTATATATGCAAACTCGTACGGTTCTCCCTTAATACATATTAAAGGGAACATTACACAAAAGAATGTATATTAAGTATTTTCTTTCTTACTGATTATATTTAACATATTGTTAAAATTATTTGTATTTATATTTATTCCTAGCTGTTATCTATTTCGTGATAATATTCCTGATTGAAATTATTATTGGAGTGTACACAAGAAAAGGTCGCCCACTATGACAATGAGATATATCCATAGTATGATATTATACTTAACAACACTGCTGTTAATTAATTTAAACAAAGCTTGGGGTATACATCTCTTCAAATTACTGTCAATTTACTTATCTAGACGTTCGAACGTGCAAACTTTGACGTCTAACCTATTTTACAATGTCGCTATTTCATGGAGGTTACCGTATCATCTAGTGCATTCACGTGTGCAGGTAACTAAATAAAAAACATGTACGAATGAGAAGAAAGCGAAGGTAGAGGATTGGAACAGCATCGAGCGAAACGGAGCGTCTGCGAGAAGTGGGGGAGTTACACTTGCGAGGAAAAGCTCGCGTACGCTCGTTAGCGCGCGGAGCGGAGCGGCACGGCGCGACGCGACTCCAGTAGTAACCGAACCGCCACGACAAGACGGGAACGCAGCGGCGGCGTCCCTCCGCGCTTCTTCATTCCTTTGTCGCCGTCGTTGCTTCGTCCACCGACCCTCACAGACGATATTCGATGGTCGCTCAGACTTGAAGGAATTTCGCAGAGTGGCTGGGCTGAGAAACACAGATTATTTTTTGATTCCGAAGACTTGGATAGTGAAATTAAATGAAGAAAGTGTTTGATTTGGTGGATATTGAAGTTGGATGAGAAATTCTTTTATAACATAGAAGAACTGCAGTTCTGGGTAAACTATTTTGAAGCTTTAATGGGGAATAATGGGAGTCTGAGTCATAGGATTTCTGGAATAGACAGTATGTCTAATTTGAGATTAAAATTAATTTGAGAAAATATATTTAGTAGTTTGTTGGTAATTTTTGTGCTAAGATAAGAGAATTTAATTTCAATAGTGTGAAATACTTTTGAGTATATATATATTTAAACAGAATATACTGTACATGGCAAATTTCTTAATCAAATTTTGACAAAACATTTCTAAAAAGCGTTTCCAAAAATGTTCTATTAAAATCTTAGAATTAAAATATAGATGTAATCTTTTCATACAGAATAATAATTCTGCAATGCTTATATCAGATTTTAAACATCCATTTACCAACAAATTTAACAGTATTTCAATATCCAATCCATATGTGATTACAAACCAAATTATTCACCTTCTCAATATTCACTACAATGGTACCCTAACGTGCAGCACAAATTCAACTGTAAAGAAAATTTTCATCGAACTTTGTTTCCTTTCTATGTTCTTCAAAAACATCCAATAAATCATTCCAGACTTGACTGTCAAAGTTCGACAAATTATCCGCCACCCTGTATAAAGCTAACGCGGCGTAGAGTATTCTATGGGTCCTGGTTCCAGGATACCTAACCACAACTCGAACGTTAGAGGAACAGTTCGTGAATCTCTGAAGCAGAAGTGAAAGTACCGAGTGTCCAAACGCTACTGCTAGACGGAAGACGCGTTTATCTGGACGACCAGCAGCACGTGTTAGCGTGAAACAGTGCGAAGAACACCTTCGATGTGAACAGGTTCGATCACACGTGGGTACAGCAAAATGAGGTTGGCGTTAAGTGTCGTTTGTACGTTCCTGTTGATCCTGCCATCATCGTATGCTGACCAATGGCAAAATAGCAGGAACGCGGAATGTCCTCACAAGTGCATGTGCTTCGGAAACACTGTGAGATGCATGTTTCAGAAGCTGAACCGTATACCACGGGTACCAACCAACACAACGGTTCTGTAAGTGGCTACATCTTCGACTTCTACTCTTCTTTTCTTCTTTCTACCTTTTCATCGCATATCCTTGGTTCTTCCGGTCGATGGTTATGCGCAACATATATGTATACATATAAATATATATATGTGCGTGTATGTGTATATATATATATATCAATGCATACCATATCCTCAGCTGAATTACAAAAAAATTGGAATCACAATAATCGGAAAATATTCATGGTATAAGCTGTGAATATTTGTACGTCGAGTCTTTATAGAATGTGGAGAATTATGTTGGCTGCTTGTTGTCAAGTATAAATATGGTACAGTTTATCGTATCTAATTTTTAAAAAATTCAAAACTATACAATTGTATTTCATTATTTTAATATTTATTTAATATCTTTGTTTTGATAACTTCAGTGCCGGGTGCCTTTTATTTTATTTTTCATTTTTATTCATTAAATTTTATCTTTTCTTTTTTTTTAAATGTCCACAATTTTTATATCTTCCTTCCCTGAAAATTCAGGGAATTAAATTAAAAATGTAAGTTCCGAAAAAATACAAAACTAATTTGTAATATCTTAAAGATAAATGATTTTATCTATGTCAATCGATAGAAAGTAGAGTCACGGTACACAAGTAATTAGATCATTAACTCCGATGATTAAGAAAAATCGCGTAATACCATGTCAATTGAAACTTCAAGAGGTTCTATGATATTAGATCGTCTTACTCACATGGGAGCAATAGCTTTTAATCAAATATGTATGCTCCTTCGTATAATTGGAGGATCGCGTTTCATCCAATATGAAAGGAATCGCGTGTGTAATACGTATATCGAGTGATCACTTTACGTATACGATATACACATTGCTTGTTAAATCATTCCACGTGGTAAAATCACTCAAATATGTGATTCTTTGATTATTCGCTAACATTTCCTGACGAATTAGAAATATCACTTATAGCTGCAGAAAATGATGCTTCGACTTTTCAAACAAAGATTATTTACCTTTCATTTTCCAACATCTTGTAAATTAACAAAACAGATAGAACACACAGATCAAGTTACATTCTCAGAAACTATATTAGTTAGCGACCTTGTATTCTTTATGTACGTGCTTAAATGGTTCATGATCTCTTGAATCATCGTTATAATCTCTCCTCCAGGGTACAAATCCTTGTGTCACAATACGCAAACTTCTTACAAAATTTTGATTTTTCTCTTTTCCTTAATTTAAGTTAATCACAGTTATATGTTAAATATGAAATAAATTTATGAATAAAAATTTGGACTGTTCTCACAGATCGTAATCGATGATTTTTCCATAGAATAATCTTTATCGAGGTCGTACCAAGATTGTGTATTGCACAGTTCGATACCAGTGTTGTGTGTCTCTTCGAACGATACAGATACCTAAGTGTATTCGAATACAGTTAAAATAGGCGTGACCGTGCAGTATAATCTAAATATAAGACGCGAGCAAGCGAACGTAAATGAATATTTGAAGAGTGGAACAAAGGTGAATCGCGTGAATGCGAATTCTTTTACGCACTGCACGTGATAGATTAATCCCTATCGAATCTAGTTTGTGCATTAAAGAAGTCGAAGCCTTTTTATTTTGACAACTATATGAATGAATATGTAGAACTTTGTAAATAACGGATTGTTTTTACTGAACTTTCATACCTTCTTTATCTTCTTTATATAAACTTTAACTTATTTGCAAAAAATTCTGCATGTAACACAGGAAACCCAAAGTAAATAATGTGAAAAAATCAGTCAGTGATCGTTAAATTTTCATGTTTTTTAATTCTGCATAAATTTCTCGATATCCTTTTATCCAACGTTTTGACCAGTTCGTTTAATATTAGATATCTACAAAAGGTTAACTATAAATTCATTCATTCGCTGACAAATATTTTCAATATATTCAATGTCCCACTTTCTTTCTTCTAGCAAGGAAAACGTTCAATTTTGTTCTCCGCAAAACAGTAGATATATTGTATTCTACTCAAACGGTTGAAAGAAAGATAAGAACTATCTATAGATAATATTCACATATCGCGCTATTTTCTCGCTTCTGTTAACCCCAATTGGGTTAAGGGTTCCGTTTCAATATTTTCTTTCTATCGTTTTTACTATGTGTTTTTTCCTGTTGTCAAACTTGGATATGTATTTCTGAAAAGATAGACAAACAGATACAGAATACAAAAATATAAAAACATGATAATAAAAAAATATATAGAAATTAATTTTAGAAATAAATTTATTATAAAACTGTTGCAATTATTTAAATTATACCAATAGCATATTTTCTAAAAACAATTTTTAGATCAACGGTTGATTATGTTAAATAAGTTTGAGAAGTTCCGCGTGAAAATAAATTGTACGTGTTTAATTTTATTAATAATAAAGTTAAGAGTGACTTCGAACGCTAACTGTATGAACATTGTCGGATCGACGACAATTGAATCTTGTTTAGGGGAAGCGATGAAGTGTTTGTATCGGGAGATGAGTCACAAACAAGTAATATTCTTATCCGTAAAGAAACGTAATTAAAAGAAATCGCTATTAATTGAACCGTTACCACTCAGTTAATCCGGATGACCTCCTGCGTAACAGAATATCATGAAATAATTTATATACTTCTTATCACACATAAATGTATAAATTGAAACATTAATAACTAAATAATCTTTCAATGACGTAATTGTATATATTAGATTACCTTGGATTTATCTTCCTGAAAACTGCCGTTGTATTGAGAAAACAACATTGAGTTAATCTCAAAAAAACAAATAATTTAATTGTTTATAATTATAACAATTTTAAAAAATTAAAAAGAAGCTAATAAGAAAAGAACTGAAACATGAAAAAGAAATGAAAATATCAGTTTAGTAACGATATAAAATAAATAATAAAATAATGGTGAGAACCTTAAATAATAACTCACTATATTTCCCTAATAACAACACTTCTAAAGAAACGAGGTGAAAAGATCTAATCTTGTTTGCTCTTCCACTAGATCACTATGTCAATTTCTTCTATCGTCAACTACCATATAAAACGTGCAAAGCAAATGACATCGCTTCAACCGAAAGATTTTTTTCTCTCTGACCACTCTATTATAATAGATTTTCGTTTAAACACAATGACGTTACGTCTATTTATACGAACAGTATAACAAATCTTGTTTGATTTCATACTCGCTTACGATAGTCGGTTATATTAAAAAATGATCACAGGAGCTCAACAGATGTCGTTAAACTCCACTGTCTTCCGCAATCGTGTAAACCAACCTTCACGGTTTCTGACTAGTACTATTTTCGCGAATTCACTCTTCCTTCTAACATTTCCGATAGTCATTGTTTGTAACTGGAAGAGGCAAAGTGGATTGGAAGTTTGTTCGTAAACGTCGGAGGGAAAGAATGAGAATTTGTTCGAACTAACTACTGAACAGATATCGTTGGAATAATTTGAAGCAGGATACGAATAAAATTACTGTTTGGTAGGAGGCTGAATATCTTCATTAAGAGGGAGTCGAATCGTATTTCGATTAATAATTGATATGAATGCTTCTCGATGGTTTCTGTTCTTTCTTTCAGATAAAATGATCTCGTTAAATTGAAGTATCTTCGTAAGGACAATGAAGAAGTGTTACTCGTTACTTTGAAACGATTAATTCGAGTCTAGCTGTACGTTCGTATAATATAACAAAGGCATCGTGACTGTAAATACTTTTGCACACTTTTAATACGTGAAAGTACATAATGATAACTGTGTTGTAAGTGTCTGTAATATATTATAAATAAGATTAAAGATACTACAGAGAAAATTTTTTACAAAAAATGCTTCCATTATATTATTTTCAATCATTATTCAGATGATGTTGAAAAGGAATTTTCTAACAGGTACCTATTTCTTATAATTTATAACAAAAAATAATGCAAACATCGAATATTATACGTAATTTTAGGGATCGAAAATCTTTTAAAATGATAAAGTGAATGGTCTTCGGATCGATCAGCGAAGGTATACCTATTATGGATATTGACCTGAATATCGAGTACACTCTTAAATGGGGTTCGCTCCGACTTCATTGAATAAATACACCTTTGTTAAATTATCAATGTGCCCCCGAAATAAAAGTTCTCTCGACCCAACGATCGTTGTCTAAATAATTAAGCAATAAATACACATTGAAAGAATTATTCCGAAGATTACACAACAAAAAGTATATAAAAATTAAAATTATTTATAATGAAAATATTTTGTGAAATATTACAAATAATTTTATCAATATTATTATCATTATTTCCAAACAATATCATAAGAAACATTATAAGTTAACAAATTTTACAATGTTTTAGTGTAATAATGATTGGAAGCAAAAGTTTTTTCTTCTACAAATCTGCAATTTGAAATTTATTCCACAAGTGGACAAATATATTACGGCGAAGTTATATTTCCAAACGAGGGAAGTGCAAAAATAATTGACCACAGAAACTGCGAAATATTTTAACTTTGTACGTGATTTTTTCACGTATAAGAATACTTGTGAATCACGAAATGAATTTGCGACGAATTATGACGTCATTTCATTGGTTGAATAATGTTAAGTAAACGCACAACGAAAAGTCAACATTATTAGATAAATTTTTCTAAAAATACAACTATTTAATGTTCTTTAATAATGTCATTATTCGTCAGTGTACGATTCATCAACTATGGCCTCATTAATATTAATAGCGACCACTCTTTGATTGGGTTGCTTACATTTCTATTGAATAACGAGAAGAATTATAATGGTCGGGTAAGGTAAATAATGTCTGGTATTAATACCCATATCAATCGAGATGTGAAATAGTAAAGTCGGCAAGTCCCGGTAAAAGTAAATTTAATTCTCATTCATTACCATTTTTATTAGCTTCTGTTTTCTTTGTTGCACATTGTATATATTAAACACGTAATTTGATACAGTTCTTTTTTTTAGCAATCTAGGCGACCAATATTTTTTTAAATACTATACATTAATATATGTATATAATTCAAGATATAATAACAATTTAAGAATGGGAGTAGCACTGAGAAGAATGAAGAAATTATAAATTTTGATAAAAGAATTGTTTCTTATTAGAACCAACTTTTATATAAAATGTTATAGAGAAATATATGGAAGAAGTGTGATAGGTAACAAGAAAAATATTTATAGTTTTCCAAGAATATTCAGTGGCAATGTTATTAGAACAACAGTCGTACTATAATAATACATATAACCCATGATATACTGAACTTCGATAATTTTGGTAATATAGGTAATTCTTTTGTTAATACGAATCTTATATTTGATAATATTATCAGGAACTCAAATTTATTTTATTAATATCATAAATCTTATCAAAGGTATACCTAAAATAGGAAAAGGGAAATTATAATTGATTACACAATTGGTAGTATAATATTGATTACATCACGACATACCTAGTCATCAAACAAATCACTGAATAATCAATTATTTATGCTTGGGTCGGTGAAAGCGAATTTCTTTTATATCCTGCATTTTCATTGTACGCGGTGTACATATTTCACATTACGCTATTAAAATTTCTATAAAACATATTTTCATTCAATCATTTCCGCGTTCTAAATATCGATCAATTCTCGAATTTCCAGCAGTTCTTCAAATTTCTGTTTCATTCCCGATATTTCTTACAACTTCTCAATCCCATACTCTTTCCAGGTAATCATCAATTCGGCTTTATCGCACTTGACGGGGAATTGAAAAAAACATGAATGAAAAGGTGTACGAGCCGGAAAACTAAAAAGTAGAATACAACCGTGGTTGGTCGTGAATGCTTTCTAGCAGAAAAGTCTTTCATTATTCCGCAATGTGTCACCAGCAGTTGGCTTTACTCACGGATCGTTCCATTTTCGTTCCCCTGGTTGGTGCTTCGCCACGAAACGAGCCACTGGAAGATCAGCTGGAGCGCTAAAGAGGTTAAAATACCGGCGCGTCGGACAGAGAACTCGCCCAGCAATTTAGACTGAGGAAATAATGTGCAACGAGTCGAGTAAAATCGTTAATTAAGAGTTTCGCGCTTTATAACTCCGACGATCTTTGCAGCGGCGAATCGTGTAATGACGTCTAACGCCGTCATTATTTCTCGGCAAGATTTCCTCAAGCTCACAAAATTCATGTCCACCCGATAATTAACTAAAACAAGTCGAAATGAATGAACTTTCGATGGAACTTAATTCAAATTTCAACGAATGATGAAATTCAAATTTCTTCGTTAGTTCGCGGGCTTTCTTGAGTCTATTGAGGCTACAATCGATACTTGTTGCGCGATTATTGCTTAATTACGAGAGAAACATGAAAACCAACTCACATAGCAATTCTTTTGCATAATCTCTTTATTATAAGTTTGATAAAAGAATAAGTAAGAATAAGTAAATAAAGGTCTGTTGCTTTATTATTCGAAGAATTTGGCAAAGGATGAGTGAAATACAAAGTAGTTTAAGATAGGTCATAAACTATATATAACGAAGAAGTTTAGTTTGAATTATATAGATGTGTGGAAAAGGAACGGAAGTGATGTCAAATTGTTCGAAACGCTTTCATTGAGTTCTTCCTACTCCTCGAGACATTTTCTTTGACTCT